CAAGGAGGCCTGTAAGGAAAAAAGAAACATGACTCTTTGTTCTCTTTAGGACCTCAACTGATAGGATGATGCCCACCCATATTGGGGAGGGCAATCTACTGAATCCGCTGATCCAAATGCTAATCTTGTCTGCAAGACACCCTCACAGACACTTCCAGAAATAGTGTTTTACCTGGGAACTGCATAGCCCAGCCAACTTGACACACAAAATCAACCATCACAGACCTGCAGTCAGTGCAATCAGTGTCAGTAGGTATTCTTGTTTGTTCTGCATCTCTCTCTCTCTTTCTCACTTGTACACACATACACGCATACACACACACACACACACGCACGCACACATGCACACACATACTGCATTTACTCACTCATCCATTTGTTTGGTCAACTAGTCATTAAACAAATATTTGCTACCATTTACTGTGTGCAGGGTTCAGTGCCTCCTGCAGAAAGGGTTGGGGACATTCGAAGAAAATGATAAACAAAAAGTGGTCCCTGCTATCAAGAAGTGTACAATCTATTGCAAGAGACACTCATGTCCATATAACTAAAATGAATTATATGATAGAAGTGCTTCAAGTATAATCCATATACTGTTAGAATGCTGAGGAAACCATTAATTCTAACGTGGGAGATGGGGAAGTAAGCATTAAACACTAACAGCATTGATCTCGGAGAGAAGCAGGGTAAGAGTATTGCTGAGAGAAGGAGCAGCATGAAGAAACCACGCACAAGAGTTACATTGGTTGGAATAGTGCAGGACAGGCAGGTAGTTTGGTGGGCTTAGCAGGTAGATTTTGGGAGCCCAGGGTCATAAGGTTGAGAAGGTAGGTTTGATATGTCCCTCATGCTTTTGTGTATATGAAGTAAAGCGAATCCTGCGTTTTGGGGGAACCCCACTTGGTTATTCACATATTTGGGTGAAGCAAAAATTGACAAGGCTAGGGGAAAAAAAATGGGGTGGTTCTGGATATAGACGAGGCACTTAATTAGTATTGGAAGGCCAGAGTTGGTTTGAGACCAGACTGCCTGAGCCACTTTTTTTTTTTATTATTGTACTTTAGGTTCTGGGGTACATGTGCAGATCATGCAGGATTGTTGCATAGGTACACACATGGCAAGGTGGTTTGTTGCCTCCATCCCCCATCACCTATATCTGGTATTTCGCCCCACGTTATCCCTCCCCACCCCTCGCTGTCCCTCCCTTAGCCCCCCACAATGGGCTGCAGTGTGTGATGCTTTCCTCCCTGTGTCCACATGTTCTAATTGTTCAACACCCGCCTGTGAGTGAGATCATGCAGTGTTCAATTTTCTCTTCTTGTGTCAGTTTGCTGAGAATGATGGTTTCCAGATTTATCCATGTGCCTGTGAAGGACACAAGCTCATCGTTTTTTATGGCTGCATAGTATCCCATGGTACAGATGTGCCACATTTTCCCTGTCCAGTCTATCATTGATGGGCATTTGGGTTGGTTCCAAGTCTTTGCTATTGTAAACAGTGCTGCAATGAACATATGTGTGCATGCGTCCCTTATAATAGAATGATTTATAATCCTTTGGATATATACCCAGAAATAGGATTGCTGGGTCAAATGGAATTTCTATTTCTAGGTCCTTGAGGAATCGCCACACTGTCTTCCACAATGGTTGAACTAATTTACACTCCCACCAACAGTGTAAAAGTGTTCTTATTTCTCCACATCCTCTCCAGCATCTGTTGTCTCCATATTTTTTAATGATCATCATCCAAACTGGCATGAAATGGTATCTCGATGAGGTTTTGATTTGCATTTCTCTAATGACCAATGATGAACATTTTTTCATATGTTTTTTGGCCTCATAGATGTCTTCTTTTGTAAAGTGTCTGTTTATATCCTTCGCCCACTTTTGAATGGGTTTGTTTTTTTCTTGTAAATCTGTTTTAGATCTTTGTAGATTCTGCATATTAGCCCTTTGTCAGATGGGTAGATTGTGAAAATGTTTTCCCATTCTGTTGGTTGCCGGTTTGCTCTAATGATTGTTTTCTTTGTGTATAGAAGCTCTGGAGTTTAATTAGATCCCATTCATCTATTTTGGCTTTTGTTGCCATTGCTTTTGGTGTTTTAGCCATGAAGTCCTTGCCTATGCCTATGTCCTGAATGGTTTTGCCTAGGTTTTCTTCTAGGGTTTTTGTGGTGTTAGGTATTATGTTTAGATCTTTCATCCATCTGGAGTTAATTTTAGTGTAAGATGTCAGGAAGGGGTCCAGTTTCTGCTTTCTGCACATAGCTAGCCAGTTTTCCCAACAGCATTTATTAAACAGGGAATCCTTGCCCCATTGCTTGTTTTTGTCAGGTTTGTCAAAGATCAGATGACTGTAAATATGTGGTGTTGCTTCTGAGGCCTCTGTTCTGTTCCATTGGTCTATGTCTCTGTTTTGGCACCAGTACCATGCTGTTTTGATTACTGTGGCCTTGTAGTATTGTTTGAAGTCAGGCAGCATGATGCCTCCAGCTTTGTTCTTTTTGCCTAAAATTAACTTGGCTATGTGGGTTCTTTTTTGGTTCCATATGAAGTTTAAGGTGGTTTTTTCCAGCTCTGTGAAGAAGGTCATTGGTAGCTTGATGGGGATGGCATTGAATCTATAAATTACTTTGGGTAGTATGGCCGTTTTGACAATATTGTTTCTTCCTAACCATGAGCATGGAATGTTTCTCCATCTGTTTGTGTCCTCTCTGATTTCCTTGAGCAGTGGTTTGTAGTTCTCCTTGAAGAGGTCCATTACCTACTTTGTTAGTTGTATTCCTAGGTATTTTATTCTCTTTGTAGCAATTGTGAATGGGAGTTCACTTTTGATTTGGCTCTGTTTGTCTGTTTTTGGTGTATAGAAATGCTTGTGATTTCTGCACATTGATTTTGTATCCTGAGACTTTGCTGAAGTTCCTTATCAGTTTCAGGAGATTTGGGGCTGAGACAATGGGGTCTTGTAAATGTACAATCATGTCATCTGCAAATAGAGACAATGTGGCTTCCCCTTTTTCTGGTTGAATACATTTATTTCTTTTTCTTGCCTGATTGCTCTGGCTAGAACTTCCAATACTATATTGAATAGGAGTGGTGAGGAGGGCATCCTTGTCTAGTGCCAGATTTCAAAGAGAATGCTTCCAGTTTTTGTCCATTCAGTATGATATTGTCTGTGGGTTTGTCATAAATAGCTTTTATTATTTTGTATACATTCCATTGATGCCTAGTTTATTGAGAGTTTTTAGCGTAAAGGGCTGCTGAATTCTGTCGAAGAACTTCTCTGCGTCTATTGAGATAATCATGTGGTTTTTGTCTTTGGTTCTGTTTATGTGATGGATTACGTTTATAGACTTGCATATGTTGAACCAGCCTTGCCACTCTTCTGATGACATTAACATCAATTTTACCTCTTGGGGATCTGCACACTGCAGGAGCTGCTCTCTGAGTTCTGATTGCTCTGTGCAAGCTCTGATCAACCCCTAGTTTAGCATGGACTCTTCACAATCAAATCAAAATCCAGAGTTAGAGCTAGGTTGCCTGGAGCCACCACTTATACTGGGTTGGCACAGTGCCAAATGAGTAAGTATAGCATTTCACCCATAAAATTATTCCTTTTTTCCCCACCAAGAATAGACTTCACTAAGTTGACAGCACACTATGTCAATATATTATACAGAAACCTAATAGGAAAAAAAGACTGGCGATTTTCATTGCGTGCCACCTAAGAGTATATTTCTCAGTAATTTCCAAGTCCATTGAAAACTGAAATCTGAAAATTACTTTTATCTTACTATCCATCCTCTTATCCCAACTTTAAGCTTTGCCCCTACTTCACTGATACTTAATTAATTTCTTTTTTTTTTTTTTTTTGAGACGAAGTTTCACTCTGTCGCCCAGGCTGGAGTGCAGTGGCACAATCTCTGCTTACTGCAGCCTCCCTCCTATCTCAGCTTCCCTGAGGAGCTGGGACTACAGGCATGCACTACCACTCCCAACTTATATTTGTATTTCTAGTAGAGGCGGGGTTTCGCCACATTGGTCAAGCTGGTCTTGAACTTCTGACCTCAAGTGATCTGCCTCCCTCAGCCTCCCAAAGTGCTAGGATTACAGGCATGAGTCACTGTGCCCAGCCATAATTAAATATTAATCAGCTATTGGTTAATTATTAATTATCAATAATTAAATATCACTCAGTGATTTATTTACCATTAATCAATATTAGTTCTTTAAAAATTAGTCAAAAACAATAGACTAAGACTTAAAGACAAGACATGTCATTTCAGAGATGTAGTCTCTGATACCAAATGGCACCCTCCCTGTTTTTGTGAAAGTGAAGAATTTGTATTTTTTGATGGTACTAATTGAAGCAGTAGTTCATTTGTAGCTGCCAATGAGTTGACTGTAAAAAAAAAAAAAAAAAATCTCATCTTAACATTGTCGAGAGAAGAAATCCTTTGTTTTTGGCCTCGGTTTGATAAAAATTAGTCTTGGATACTATATACGGTAAGTGGATATTAAAATTAGGGTTATGAATTGTTGCTTTAGTGTTCTCAGCCTTAGAGACTCAAAGTATCTTATCAGAAAGGATACATTGCTTTAATTGTTCCTCATTATATAGAATGAGAGAACATCATTTCTCTCCTTTTCCTCCCAGGTGGCCGTGGAGGACCGAGTCAGGCAGCTGCATGAAGCCCACAGGGACTTTGGCCCAGCATCCCAACACTTTCTTTCCAGTAAGTCATTTTCAGCTTTTATCACTTAACTTCACTGCATCTTGATTAATAAGAATTAACAGTTGAAAAAAAGAAAAAAGGAAAATTAAGTGATGAATTATAATCATCTCTGTCAGATACAGTAGAAGCATAAACCATCCTGAAATATAACGTGGTCAATGAATTCAGAAGGTTAGGAAGAGGAAGGCCAGTTAGGTCATTTTGTCCAGTCTTCAGCTAATGCATAATTGTTTCCTGCAACACATTCTCAAATGCTAACTTTATTCATATTTTTGAGTCTTTCTGAAAAATATGGACCACTTTTGCTCTGGAGCCATGCTAATATTCTCTGTATCGTTCCAATGTTAGAATATGGGTTGCTGAAGCAAACACATACATTTGAGTTTTCATTTCTACCCATCGGTTCAGTTAATAAAGCTAATAATTATGACATCATGTAATTATAACATCATCATTCAATATATGTTACTTTGATTCTATCATTCTTTATATCTGAATAATGAATTAAATACTCCCTGCCTTTTGAAATGAATGACAGTTCTCAAAAGAAGGCATATAAATGGCCAACAGGGATGTGAAAAAAATGCTCAACATCGCTATTCACTGGGGAAATGCAAATCAAGACCACAAGACATATCATCTTACCCAGGTTAGAATGGCTATTATTCACAAGACAAAAATGACAGATTCTAGTGAGAATGTGGAGGAAGGGAACTCTTATACTGTTGGCAAAAATGTAACAGTAAATTAGTAACAGTATGAAGATTTCTCAAAAAACTATAAATAGAACTACCTTACCATCTGGCAATCCCACTACTGATTATCTAACCCAAAGCAAAGGAATGAATCGTTTATCAAAAGGATACCTGTACTTTATCACAGCACTGTTTACAATAGCAAAGATGTGAAATCAACCTAAGTGTACATCAACAGATGAACTAGATAAAGAATATGTGGTATCTATACACAATGGATACTACAAGAATGAAATCACGTCATTCACAGCAACATGGAGCTGGAGGTCATTATGTTAAGTGAAATAACCCTGGCACAAAAAGACAAATACCGCATGTTCTCACTCTTGCAGGAACTAAAAAAATTGATCTCATAAAAGTATAATAGAATGATGGATACTAGTGGCTGGGAAAGATGTATGGGTAGAAGAGGGAGATAAAGAGAGGTTGGTTAATGCATACAAACATACAGTTAGATAGAAGGAATAAGTTCTATCATTTGACAGCAGAATAGAGTGACTATAGTTAACAACAATGTGTTGTATATTTTAAAGTACCAAGAAGAAAGGGCTTGAATTGTTCCAAATACATAAAAATGACAAATACTCAAAGTGATGGATGCCTCAAATATCCTGACTTGATAATTGTACATTCTATGCCTGTAAAATATCACATTACCTTATAAATATGTAAAATATTATGTATCAGCCAGGCACGGTGGCTCACACCTATAATCCTAGCACTTTGGGAGGCTGAGGTGGGTGGATGACGAGGTCAAGAGATCAAGACCATCCTGGTCAACATAGTGAAACCCCGTCTCTACTAAAAATACAAAATTTACCTGGGCATGGTGGCACAGCCTGTAGTCCCAGCTACTCAGGGGGCTGAGGCAGGAGAATTGCTTGAACCCAGGAAGCGGAGGTTGTGGTGAGCCGAGATTGCTCCATTACACTCCAGCCTGCTTAACAAGAGCAAAACTCCATCTCAATATATATATATATATATATATATAAAATGTATCAAAAATAAATAAATAAATAAATACTCTGTCTCCAAGTTGAAACCTCAGCCTATGGGCATTTCCTTTCCCTCGCTATTTGTATCCTCCTTTTTTGGGGAGGTTGGGGGAAGGAGTCTTACTCTTTTCCCCAGGCAGGAGTGCCCTGGCATGATCTGGGCTCACTTCAATCTCTGCCTCCTGGGTTCAAACGATTCTCCTGCCTCAGCCTCCCGAGTAGCTGGGACTACAGGCATGCACCACCACGCCCAGATAATTTTTGTATTTTTTAGTAGAGACAGGGTTTAACCATGTTGACCAGGATGGTCTCAAATTCCTCACCTCAGGTGATCCACTCACTTTGGCTTCTGAAAGTATTGGGATTACATGTATGAGCCACCGCACCCAGCCTCGTATCCTTCTTTTTCCTTGACTTGACTTCTACCGCTTCTTTTATTTGCTGGTTTTACCATTTTAATAATTATATTTTTATAATTAATACTAAAAGAGAAATAGCCTTAGTTAACTGAAAGTTTAAGTATTAGAACTTCCTATTTATACAATAATACATATTAAATTGGCAAGCACCTGTTTTCCTCTGATTAATGTTAATTTATACCCCTTTTTCTTTTATTACAAAAGTGTATGTATTGAGTTTTTTGATATTTAAAAAGCCATACTTTACCACATGGAGTTAATATCTGTTAGCATTCTAATATATTTCCTTCTAGTCATATATGAGTATGTCTGAGGGTTTACCCGTCATTTTAAGGCAATTACTTTGTGCCTAGCAATGTTACAAATTTTAACTAGTTTAATCCTTATAGCAATCCTTTAAGGTAAGTACCATTATTATACCCATTTCAGTGATGAATAAATTGAGGCACATATTCATACAGCTAGTAGATGAGAGAGCCAGGATTCAAACCCAAGAAGTTGGCTCCAGAGTCTGTGTTTTTAACCATCACACTGTAATTTTACTTAATTTATATTTTTTATGGAAAGGAAGTAATTATATATGATCATTCTTCTGCCATATTCTTTCCTTGCCATTGTCTGATCTTTTCCTTTCTTTTCCATTCTCCGTGAATTAATAAAAAGATCCACGGTCACAAATACTTTAAAGTATTTGATTAGATGCTTTCATGTGTTTCTTCAGTTGGCTGTTGTCTTTTTGAACAAAAATTCCTGGAAGGTGTTGGTCCTGTGTTTTTATTATACATTGATAATAGATTAAGAAGAAGTATCTATTTCCTGGACTGGCTCTAACTCTATTATCCACATCCGGTCTAGTTATTTGGACACAGTTCCACAATGCTTTGGAGTTGCTAAAAGAAAAAGGGGGGGCGGTAAAGCAGTTTATCTAAATGAGTGGGATCGTGGCTTTTAGGAACGGCTCTAGAAAAATGATAAAGGCTGCAGACTTTGTGTTCTGTATTTTTCTAAATCTCTAGTCTACTAAACTTGCCTTGGTGACAGCCATTCTATTCAATTTAATTGAGATTAAATGTGATAACATACTCCTAAGTGACTCATAAACCATGAATAAAAAATAGTACTATTATGAATATTAATTATTCCTCAGACACCAGGAATATTCATTAATATTTTCTTCTCTCTGACTCCCCCTCTGAATTCCCATGTCTTACCCATTAAAACCAATTCTCAGAAAGTGATATACTCATTTAACCCAGGTGATAGGTAAAGTTTAACATGTACTTCTCCTGGGTTATTTGCATTTTATTAGAGTGAAAATCCATAAGCCTGAGGTGGTAGAACATCAGCCATAAGCTCTGAGCTGTGAGGGAAGAACTTTGAGGAGCCAAGAAGAACATTCTCACACCTTTCAAACCATATCACATCAGTACCCACTTCCAGAAAGGTCAGGTTTGTTAGACTCAGGCATTCATAAAGAGGCTGATCTACCTGCCTGAATGAAGCCAGCCCGGAAGTCATCAATCTCTTGGATACCCATGTGAAATATCAATATATGCTTAAAAGCTTTGCTTGCAGGTATAAAGAAAATACCAACTTGGTTTAAGGGATATTTAAGAAATAGGACGCTGAGACAAAAGACGGATTGTTTCTTTACATTGTCCTTTTTAAAATTACAAAGGTACTCTATACACATCAAGAAAAATTGGGATAGCACACAGTACAAACAAGAAAAGAAAAAATATCCACAATCCCATGACTCAGAGATAATCACTATCAGAAATTTGGTTTATATACTTTCTGTCTTTCTCCTGTGAGTGTGTGTGTGTGTGTGTGTGTGTGTGTGTGTGTGTGTGTGTGTGTCAAGGCTCTATCTTCTTTTCTATTTTATTTTTTAATTTGTTTTTTGAGACAGTGCGATTTTGGCTCACTGCAACCTCCCCTTCCTGGGTTCTAGCGAGTCTCATGACTCAGCCTTCTTCGGCTATTTTTTTGTATTTGTAGTAGAGATAGGGTTTCACTCTGTTGGCCATGCTGGTCTCAAACTTGTGGCCTCAAGTGACCTGCCCACTGCAGCCTCCCAAAATGCTGGGATTACAGGTGTGAGCCACTGCACCCAGCCTCTCTCTTTTTCTTTTAAACCAAGCATAGATGAAACATTACAGTTTTATGAGCTGCTTTTTTCCCTTCAAACTGTCTTTATAATACTTTTATGTGTTTAAATATTCTTCTACAGGGTAATTTTTTGTTTTTCTTTTTTCTAACTACAGGGTAATTTTTCTACTGACTGGCTAATCCTCTCTTCTGTGGCTGTACCAAATTTACCAACATAATTCTAAATTGCTCAATATTAAGAGTATTTCACAATTTTTACTATTATATCCAGCATTATGGCTAATATATTTTTTTGGGGGGGGGGGAACAGAGTTTTTGCTCTGTAGCCAGGCGCCAGGCAGTGTCACAATCTTGGCTCACTGCAACCTCCACCTCCCAGGTTCAAGCAATTCTCCTGCCTCAGCCTCCCGAGTAGCTGGGACTACAGGCACGCACCACCACGCCCAGCTAATTTTTTTGTATTTTTAGTAGATACGCGGTTTCACCATGTTGGCCAGGCTAATGTCTTTTTTATACCTTTACAGATATCTCAGATTCTTTCTACAGGATAAATGCCTAAAAGTGGAATAGTTGTGTTAAATAATGTTTACATTTGTAAGCCTTTTTATGTGTATTGCCAAAGTTACCTCTAGAAAATTGCACCAGAAATTGGGTGCACCATCCAAACCATATTTGAGCCAGGCGTGGTGTGGCTCATGCCTATAATCCCAATTCTTTGGGAAACTGAGGCAGGAGGATCACTTAAGCCCAGGAGGTCAAGGCTGCCGTGAACCATAATCACACCCCTGGACTCCAATCTGAGTGAAAGAGCAAGACCCTGACCCTAAATTAAAAAATAAAAAAAATCACCGTATTTGAAGCAGGGTATCTCTGAAGTCACATATTTGCTACTATAAAAGCAGCTTCCCCCGACCAATGAATAAAAATATGTTTTATTTTTATTTATTTTTTTTTTTGAGACGGAGTTTCGCTCTTGTTACCCAGGCTGGAGTGCAATGGCGCGATCTCGGCTCACCGCAACCTCCGCCTCCTGGGTTCAGGCAATTCTCCTGCCTCAGCCTCCGAGTAGCTGGGACTACAGGCACACGCCA